CGTCACAGAGCACCCTGTTGATGAGCACAAGCTTATCAACGTGTTCATCTATGACCTTGTAGATGGATTGGTGAAGACCTGCATGTTCTGAGAGGACTTTCAAACGCTGGAAAGGGCGATAGCGTATGCGGAACAAGAAGACTTCAGCCTGAGACATTCTCAGGATAACTCGTCAAACTATCGTCCGACGAGACGACAGGAAACGGGAGGTCCCGAACCAATGGACCTCTGTTATAGAGATAGTGAGAACTCACGCTCTCTGCGTCACAAGCGAACGGGAAGATGCCATCGCTGTCAGTAGATTGGACACTACGCTCATTAGTGTAGTGTCCTAAGCACCGTAACACGTTTAAAGACAGGACGGGATGCCCACCGTTGGCCAAGGAAGGGTCCGAGGCGCGGATCCGACCATGTCGCTAAGCCGCGACAGCAAGTCGGACCGTCGAGAAACGATCAGGGTCAGTAGGGGCGGAGCACCCTGCTGATCCAGCATTGTCAAGAGAATTTGCAGGACTCTTGACGAAGATTGCTCCCAACACGCAGTCTCTGTGTGTTACTGCCCTTAGTGATGAGTAGTCTCTCATCACTTTGAAGATCGAAGTGACAAGTACAATGTCCCTTCGTGCCCTAATTGACTGTGGGGCGTCGAACAGTTCGACATTAGTCGCTAGGAGATAGTAGGCTCAACTATGTTGATCGAAAGTTCCCTCCAACGAGGATGACGGTGTGCCTTGCAACAGGCGCATTCATGACGGTGAACAACCTTGTAGTGGGAATACACAACGCGCTAGAACGAAAGGAGTGCGATGATGACTTTATCGTATTGGATTTGGATGACAAGTTTGATGTCATTCTTTGTCTGCCATGGCTTAGAAAATACAAGATATGGGTTAGCTGGCAGCATCGATCCGTGAAGATGCCTGCCGTTTGTTCATCGGATGGTCATCTGATGAACGTTTTGGAGCGTCCACAAGCGTGTGGATGTACTGCGAGTGAGTGCGAGGCCTCACTTGTGATACGGTCGTTAGTATGGTTGCACAAGATCACAGTGTAGAAGGCCACTACACACTGGAAACAGCTTCCGGAACCTGTGTAGAGAAACCGGTTGTGCCGAAGGTTCACCACTTGAAGATATCGAGTGGACTGGAACACGGATGCACACCAATAAGGGTGCATCCGAGAAGAAAAATTAGTGATGTTCAGGATGGACAACACGTTGAAGCGAGATCATCTACCAGAAAGTCGATCGTAGAGCAAGCCTGATCAACTGAAAGATAGTCGATCGAAGAGGACGTGACCATGATAGTACACGTAGAGGAAGAAATATCCAGCGTTCCTGAGAGCAAAAACTCCCGAGAGAGTTATGTTGATGTTGTGGATTTCCAACCACCTGCGGATGTGTTTTCCCAGAAAATAACCGAGTCAGTAAATGTATTGGTGAATGACGGATCAAGTTTAGGGGCTCATACAATTGATCTGGTTACGCCCCCGAAGTCAGCTTCGGAGGTAGTCAGGTTGCCAACGCTAGAATCCAAAAGATTCTTGCCAGATCTGCGTAGCAACAAGATCAAGCAGATCTGCGTACTCGTCACAGAGGACGAGTACGACGCCGATATTCGGTCGGCACAAGTGTTTGCTGTGAACGAACGGTTTCTCAGTAGATCATCGATGGACGAGAGTAATCTCTTTGAGATGACTCGGATTGAGCGATACACGTCTCAATCTTGGGAGTCTTTGAAGACAAATCCTTTATATAAGGATTTGGTGGAATTCAGGGATGTTTTCCGGGATTCCGTGCCATGCGAGCTGCCCAAAGGCAAAGGCACTCGGCATGAGATCGAACTGAAATCTGGTTCGAAATACTGTGTCATGAAGCAGTGGCCAATGCCTCGTGAACAGGTCACAGCGATCGACCAATTCTTTGCCGATCGTCTAGCGGCTGGTCGTGTGAGGGAATCAACATCCTCGCACAGATATCCGACCTTCTGTATGCGAAAGGTCACAGGAGGGTGGCGGATTCTGCACGCGCTCGGCAAATTTAACGCTGCATCGGTTCCGGCTCAAACGCCGTTCCCAAGAAAGGATGTCACCACTGATGGTATGGCAAATAGTACCATCTTTTCGTCCATGGATCTGACGTATAGATTCTATCAGATCCTCATGCGTGAAAGGGATATCCCGTACACAGCAGTGAGCACCCCCAGTGGTATGCTCTGGGAGTGGCTAGTTATGCCACAGGTGCTAAGTAAGGCCCCGCAACGTTTAACAGATGTGTTACGAATCTGTTGCTATCGGTGCGCGACTTTACACCGAGTTACATCGACGATGTCTTCGTCCACAGTCGGGCTATGGATGGAAAGACGGACGTGGAAGTTCATAGAGTCCACGTCCGGAAGGTTCATACGCTAATGCGAGAGCATAAGTTGTTCGCGAACCTCAAGAAGTGTATCTTTGCAGCAAACGAAATACCACTTCTTCGCTGCATCGTGGGTTAAAACGGTGTACGCCCTGATCCGGGAAAATACAAGGCGATTAGCGACTGGCATGTGCCATTCGACGTCAAGGGACTTATAAAGGTTCCTTGGCTTGGTGGCGTACTTGCACAAATACTAGCGCAACTATGCCAAGATGACTGTACATCTCTCTCGTCTCTTAAAGAAAAACGAGAGGTGGTCACAGAGCGCTGAGTGTCAGCACTGTTTTGAAGGCATCAATAAAAGCTTGGTCCAATCACCTGTGCTTGGCGATTGCAGATCAGGATAGGCCATTCCATGTGGTCTGTGATGCCAGCGATTTTGCAATCGGCTGCGCGTTAATGCAGTACGACTTAGATGGGGCTGAGCGCGTCGTCTGTTATCAATCGCGTCAGCTGCAAGCAGCTGAGCGAAATTATTCGGCTCATGACAAGGAACTCCTTGCCATGAAATATGCACTGGCCAAGTCTCGGGCGTATCTCTTAGGAGATAGGCCCTTCATCGTTTTTATCGACTATGTGTCATAACGCACGGCCGTAAACAGTCCACACCTCTCGCAACGAATGGCGAGGTGGCTGTCTTTCTTCGCGGGGTACAACTTCTTCGTCGACTATAAACCAGGACGGCTTAATGTCGTCGCTGATGCTCTTTCGCGTCAGTCCGATTTTAGGCCGATTGCTCAAACTAACAGTGGGGGTGATCCCACTGTTGCGACTCTAACAGTGAGTGTTTCGTCGTCGAATCTGATCGATGACGTGCGAAAAGCATACACAGAAGACGAGTATCTTCTGCGGTTGATGGATTACCTACCCAATCCGTACAGTCAACCTTTGAAAAGCTTGTCGTTTCAATACTGCTCTTCAACCGAACGGTATTCGGCTCGTGATGGACTGCTGTACTATACATCAGTCAACGGCGACACACCGCGTGTCGTCGTTCCGGCTCATCATGAATTGCGATTGTGCATCATGTATAAGTGTCACGATGCCCCAACAAATGGGCATCACGGTAGGGGAAAGACTTACCTCACCGTAAGTCGTGACTTTAACTGGCCCCGCCAGTGTGAGTTTGTGCGGAAATACATTCGCGGTTGCGAAGTTTGTCAACGGGTGAAGCCTATTTCTAATCCCGCGCACACTTACAGCCTCTTCCTATTCCGGCAGAGTACTGGCAGTCCGTATCGATAGACTTCTTCTTTGGGTTTCCTAAAGACGTTCACAAAAATACTGGCATTAGTGTGTTTGTTAATCGGTCCAGCAAGATGGTGCATCTTGTTGCTGTACCGGAGTCAATCACAGCCTAGGGCTGTGCTCGTATCGTCATCGATACAATTTTCCGACTTCACGGGTTACCCCGTGAGTCGTGTCGGATAGGGACCCCCGCTTTACAGCGGAGTTCTGGTAATCCGTGTTCCGTTCAATTGGACCACGTTTGAAGATGTCAACTTCTGACCATTCAGAAACAGATGGTCTGACGTAACGCGTCAACCGCGTTCTCGAAGAGATACTTCGAGGGTATGTCCACTCGTTTACGAGCTGGTTTGAGTTCTTGCCGATGGCGGAATTCGCCATTAACAACTCGGTGCACGCGTCGACAACGCATACACCGTTCTTCGTGAATGGCCTAAGCCATCCACGTTCACCCGCCTTCTTGACTCTAGATTAGGGGGGGGTGGACTCTTTTGAAAAAAAACCCGATCTGGTTCTTGCTCATCACCCGTCGACATTGGTGTTGATGTGATGGATGCCGATGCCGATCTCATCACCATCGATGATGATGATGAAGACGATGCTGGTATACTCATCATCGCCAGTGACTGCCACAGTGAGAACGATGACGCCCTCAATGATAAAGACAACGTTCTTTTAGCAGTGCACACGAAGCGCACTGCTGTCAAAATAAAAAATAAATCAGCAAAGGAATTTTTGCTGACTCGCGAAGCGGTTGTCCGCTTCGTTCAAGACTCTATTGCAGATGCACTAGACACACAGAAAAGAAACGCATACAAACATGGAAGAGAAATTGTTCTTTCATTTAATGAAGGAGACCTAGATTTACTGTCTACAGTACATCTACCGAAACACGCAGTGAAAAACGTGGGCAGCAGTAAATTACTGCCCAGGTACATCGATCCAATTCATGTGTTGCGCCGAATGGGTAACGCATACACGATTGAACTGCCCCGTAAGATGCGTACGCATCCTACTTTTAATGTCGGTCGTCTACGCCCGTACTATCAGTACGAGCCCGTTTTGAGATGCGAAGAACACCTCCGTGGTCGAGAGCCGAGGCCACCTTGGAATGGTCCCGTTTTAACGAGCCAGTCTGGTCGACCAGCGAAGCGACCTGTTCACGCAGCTCAGCGATGTCTCGACGAGCTACAGCCAGCTCAGCACGAAGAGAACGAGTCGAACGTTCGCTCTCAAGTTGTGCGAACGCAAAAGCGGCACGATCGTCCGAACGATCGTGCGTTAGGGAATTGTAATTATCCCTCACAAGATCCTTAAGCCCATAAGGCCGAGATCGTTAACGATCCAGGTCATCTTGCAACTGTTCCGTTAGACGGTTCAGCTCTTGATCATCAAGTTGATCCGACCCTCGAGCCGGATCAGGTGTTCCTACCGCCACCACATCCTTTGGTGGATTCTGGCGGTGATCAACGCTTTCTGTTGGAGCGTATTTTAAACCAACGCAACGTGAATGGCGTCCGGACGAGTTACCTCGTCCGCTGGCGTGGCTATCCACCGGCGTGGGACAGCTGGGAGCCTCGTGCCCAGCTGATTGTTGATGTCCTTGGTCTCGTCGAGCAGTACGACGAGACCCACCCGCTGCATTTGAAGAAGGGCTGTCGGAAAACGACCTCCCCGACCGCGAGTACAGGGATTGCAAGGTGTCAATCCCTCCGGCCATCTCGGAAGAGATGCGCGCCCTCCAGTAAAGATCTTAGGGAGGTAGGCCTCCCTAGGGGCACGGTTCGAGTTGTACAGGCAACCTGGACACGAATCACCCCACAAGAGACAGGGTAATCCTGCCTCTCTTGATAGCCGGTGCAACTTTCATCGCGCCCCGACTGGGTTGCGCCTCTCAGACCTGATGCGAGCTGAATCAAGTTTGGCGAGCCAAGCCTCACGGCCAATGCACTCGATGTTATGGATGAGGGCATTCCATCCGTGCACCAAGGCTTTGCCTCCTTGAACACGGCTACCATTAAACCATCGATGTTTGAAATACGCATCGGTGAAGAACTCTTCCTCAGCAAGGATAGTTTCCGTGCTGGAATCAGGTGGACAAATATTCCTGCAATCGAACAACGGGATTTGATCCCGTTCGGTAGTCGTGCCGGCCAACCGGTCCAACACTTTGGACGGCGGCATCCACGGAGACTTCACTTGGGGAGCGTGGCGCAGGACATTTCGGCCCCTGGCCTCTTGATTGGTGCAAGCATGAGCACTGGCACCAGTGTTACCCCGATCCCTTAAATTACTTCGCTCGTGGTGATGCATGGGTGCATCACCATCATCCCCACGCATCCTATCGTTGGATGGACTTGTGCGAGGCGAAGACTCATCAAAATAATCACTCGATCCTAAATCTCGAGCATGATGCCGCCACGTTGACCAGATCCAGTCAACCTAGCTCTTGCATTGTACGCCCCGGGTGATCTGGAGGCGTGAAATGTCGCCTTCGAGTCGGAAACATCATTCGACTCGCCGGAATAGAGGAGCTTTATCTCAGACTCATCTTGATAACGATTCGCGGTACCCCCTGCAGACGCAGCGGATGTACCTGTCGCATGTGGTGACTCACCACGTGGACTATTCACAACAGACACCGCCTGTTGCAGATTCATGAACAAAAAGGGACGAATCGCCTGCTGCTGAGGTGTGAGAGGCACTTTTCGCGGCTGCTGCTTGAATGTGTGCAGCCGCCCTTCTTGCTGCTGCAGTAGCAGCTCGCGTCGTTTTCGAAACCATGCGTTGGATTGGCAAATGATTGGGATTTGACAAACAAGTGCTCCCTTTCTCGGAGTGATCCAACGGTGGTCACCCTGTCTGTAACGGGGCACCCTGAAGCTTGTACTGGTGACAGTACAAGCTACTTATTCTGATAACAGAATAAGGCGGTGCCTCGTAACTTCACGTACACTCGTACGTGCAGAGGAAGACGGTAAGAAGAAGCGAGTACTCGGTTAGAGTAAAAAGTATAACTGTATTTATAATAGTTAATGTCTGCAATAAATCAGTATTTATCTTCATCTAACTATGTCTAAATACAAATGTGTAAATCAGTTATCTGCTCACCACTCATTGCGTGCGTCTGTCGTGGCGCGTCTTCGTTGGTTGATATAATGGCCTATATCAACCAATTAGGAACTACTTGGAAGTGCTACCGAATATTGTCCTTATGACAATATTCTGAGAATATAACTCTTATAGTTATATTCTATTAACAATTTCTTATAAATTGTTATGTAACGATTCACCCCGTTACATCACCCCCCCCTTAACCATCAGTCACTTTAGTGACTGATTGACTAAATGGATACTCGTCCCAATTCATTTGGGACGGGGTTTGCACTTGTTGGTCCGCGTCCACTTTCCAACATCTCATCGCATGGTAAACAAGCCCATGCGATGCGCGAGCAAGGCCGCCGAGAGCGCGTCTGCACGTCTCTGTGCGGACGCCGAAGCAGAAACTACAGCAACTGATGTCCCATCGGTTGCTGAATCGACTCAGCCTGTATCACCTGGTGATGCAGGCGCTGGTCATGAAGACACTCGTGTCTTCACAGAGTACGAGCTCGGTGTCTCGTACTCTCCTGATACGGATGACGGATCCGTATCGACGGCAATTGAATCCAAGCCGCCTGCCAAGCGTGGCATGGACGATGCTTTGCGTCGCAGCATCTTTGGTTCATCTGATGAGTCAGATGAACCATCGCCGAAGCGAAGGCGCTCGAGGTCGCGAGACTCGGGCGCTAATAGTGGTGTCGTTTCTCCAATGGACACCACTTCACAGCGAGGTGCCAGTACTTCTGTCGGCACGTCGCAGGAAGAGCGGGACCGCAATGTGTTGCGTCTCGCTCCAGAAAAGAAGGCATGGATGCCTCCTAAATCTGTCATGGATCACTTGTCGGCGACGACGAGTGATCGTTATCGAACACGATTGTTCGATTCGTCAAGGATCCATCACTTGACCCCAGCGCGAAAGACTATCGCGCTGAACATGAGTTCTTCATCGATGCTTTCTTCAGACATCGATGGTACAGTGGGAATCACAAACGTGATGGTCCCTCACTACTTCAGGCGTGGAACGCCTACATCCATAATCTCGAGGATGTAGGTCGTGACGCTTGGAACGACAAACTTATCAAAGCTCGTGATAAGTTTGAAAAGCGAACCCCGACAGGTGCACGCTATAAGCTGCATCGTCTGTCAAGGGAGAAAGGATTACCCTGCCTCTCTTGGGGAGAATCGTGCCCATGTTGTGTGAACAACTCTGCACGAGCACCTAAGGAGGCTTACCTCCTTACCAGCCCGTGGTGGCGCGTACGTGTCTCTACTGAGATGTACGAAGGGATTGACAACCTGAAATCCCTTTACGACCGTGCCGGGAAGACTTTCTCTGGCGGTCCTTCTGCGGCACAGGATGTGTCGCGTCGTACTGCTCGACTAGACCCAGTACGTCAACCATCAATTGGGAGCGGGGCTCCCAAGAATCCCAGGACGGGGGATAGCCGCGCCACCGGACGAGGTAACTCGTCCGACGTCCGTTCACGTCGCGGTGGTTCAACAGCTGCTCTACTAGATAGCGCTGGCCACCGCGAGAGTCCTCTAATGGAGGTGGAGGAGGAGGAAAGACGCTCTCCACACGATCATGTGGATCGGTGTGTTCCCGAGAGCTTCTTTGATCGCGTAACGCAAGGGTTACGCGACGATCTCGAGCATGAGCGGAATAGGCGTCTCCAGATGGTGGACACTGCCTCGAAGCATCGAGCTGAGTTTGCCTTTGCTCAGCTTGAGAACGAGAGATCTCTGACATCTCTTCGTGACGAGCTAAGGGTAGCTCGTGGGATTGTTGATCGGTCTCGGGCTGAGATAACTGCTCTTCAGACCCTTGTTGATGCCCACCATCGGGAGCACAAGGCTCTCTGCGAGATGCTTGAGCGCAAGGGCGTTCTTCATCGGAAGAAGCAGCGTACTGATGGTACGGCTTAAGCCGACCAACGTAAAACGTGGGATGCGTTCGCATCTTACGTGGTAACTCGATCGTGTATGCATTGCCTAGGCGGTGCAATACACGAAATGGGCCAATGTACTTGGGTAGTAGTTTACTGCTACCCAAGTTAGTCACTACATGTTTTGGTAGATTAACCGTAGACAGTAGGACTAAGTCACCTTTATTAAATAAAAGAGTGTTTGCCCTTCCATTCTTGTCAGCGTTTTGCTTTTGCTTATCCACCGCTTCGGCGATGGAGTCTTGCACAAAACGGACTACCGTTTCACGAGCCAGTATGAACTCATCTGATGACTCGTTAGCTTCAGTGTGCTGTGAGCGCACTGCAGCGACAACAACCTTTTCTTCAGTGAGGGCTTCTGCACTCTCACTGGGATCATTGTCTTCAGTGAGGGCTTCCGCACTCTCACTGGCATCATCTTCTTCGATATCGATGTTATCGATATCGGCATCAAACGCAATGACTTCTTCGTCAGAGCGTGATGAGCGTGAACCAAATCGGTTTTTGCTCGCGCGAGTCCCTCCCCCCTTAAACCAGAGTTACACTCTAGTAAGGTGGGTACACGCGGATGGCGCAAGCCATTCACGTAAAACGGTGTATGTGTCGTGGACGCATGCACCGAGTTGTTGATGGCAAACTCTACCATCGGCAAAAACTCACTCCAACTCTTAAAGGAGTGTACGTATCCTCGAAGTATCTCTTCAAGGACACGATTGGCACGTTCCGTCTGACCATCTGACTCTGGATGATCAGATGTTGACATCTTCAAGCGCGTTCCGAGTGATTTGAACACGGAACGCCAGAAATCAGCAGTGAATCGTGGATCTCTGTCTGATACGAGTTCACGGGGCAACCCATGAAGTCGGAAGATGGTGTCAATAAAGACACAAGCACAGCCACTTGCCGTGATTGTCTCTGGTACAGCCACAAGGTGTACCATTTTGCTGAATCTGTCAACAAATACGAGAATACCCGTATTCCCGCGTGCGTCTTTGGGTAACCGAAGACGAAATCCATTGAGATGGATTCCCAGCACTCAGCCGGAACCGGTAGAGGCTGTAAAGGTGCACGCAGTGAAGGACTTGACTTCACTCGTTGGCAGACTTCGCATGCGCGAACATACTTTCACACAAACTGATACTGGCGGGGCCAGTAAAAGTCTCGACTTACCGTGAGATATGTTTTCTCTCGGCCACGATGTCCTCCTATAGGAGCATCGTGATATTTCGAACATGATCCGCAAACGCAGATCAATATCATCTGGAATGACAACACGTGGTGTGTCACCAGAAACGGCTGTATAGTACAGTAAACCGTTACGAGTAGTGTATCGATCTGATGCAGATCGATACGCAGACGACAATCGTTTCAACGATTCTCGAGATGGTTGGGAGAGATGTGACAACAACTTCACTATCTCACCATCTTGGGCGTATGCCCGCCTCACATCATCATACAACGTTGTAGATGGAACTGAGGACGTCATAACCGCAACAGTGACTGTCTCACTGTTGGGTTTCGCGACTGTTTCAAAGTCGGGACGACGTGAGAGTGCATCAGCGACGACATTAAGTCGTCCTGGTTTGTACTCGACCGTAAAGTTGTATTCTGCAAAGAATGACAACCACCGCGCCATTCGTTGTGAAAGGTGTGGGCTGTTCACTGCCGTGCGTAAGGACGCATGGTCAGTGTAAACAACGAAGGGTCTATCTCCTAATAGATAGACTCTGAACTTCGCGAGTGCATACTTCATGGCAAGGAGTTCCTTGTCATGCACTGGATAGTTCCGCTCAGCTGGTTGCAGCTGACGCGACTGATAGCAGACGACGCGTTCAACGCCTTCAAGGTCGTACTGCATTAATGCACAGCCGATTGCGAAATCGCTGGCATCACAGACCACATGAAATGGCCTGTCCTGATCGGCTATTGCTAGGACTGGGGATTGTATCAAGCTCTGCTTGATACCCTCAAAGGAGCGTTGACATTCAGCGTTCCATAACCACCTCTCGTTCTTTTCAACAAACGAGAGAGGTGTACAGTCATCTCGGCGTAATTGCGTGAATACTTATGCAAATACGCCGCTAGCCCAAGGAATTTTCGAAGACCTTTGACATCGACCGGCACGGGCCAGTCGGTGATCGCCTTGATCTTTTCGGGATCAGGACGTACACCGTTCTTACCAACGATGCACCCAAGAAGTGGTATTTCGCTTGCTGCAAATATACACTTCTTGAGGTTTGCATACAATTGATGCTTTCGCATGATTGTAAGAACTTGTCGGACGTGGTACTTGTGAACCTCAACGTCCGACTTTCCATCCATAGCTCGACTATGGATGAATACGTCATCGAAATAACTCGGCGCGAATTCTCGTACTGGCCTCAACAGATGTGATACACACCTGTTGAACGTGGCAGGGGCATTACTGAGCCCTTGTGGCATTACTAGCCATTCCCAGAGCATGCCGCTAGGCGTGCTAACTGCGGTATAGGGTATATCCTGTTCCGCATTAGGATTTGATAGAAGCCATCCATCAAATCCATGGACGAAAAGATGGTACTCTTTGACATACCATCAATGATTACGTCCTTCCTCGGTATCGGCGTCTGAGCCGGTACCGTTGCAGCGTTCAATTTGTTAAACGCGTGCACTATCCGCCACCCTCCTGTTGCTTTTCGCACACAGAAGGTCGGAGAGCTATGTGGGGAAGTTGATTCCCTCACATGGCCCGCTGCTAAACGATCGGCAAAGAACTTGTCGATCGCAAGTACTTGTTCACGAGGCAGTGGCCACTGCTTCATGACACAGTACTTCGAGCCTGGTTTAAGCTCGACTTCGTGTCGAATACCTTTATCCTTCGGTAATTCGCACGGAACAGTTTCAGGGAATACATCCTTGAATTCAACCAAATCTTCATAGAGAGGATTTTCCTTGAGCGATTCCCATGATTGGGACTCATATCGCTCAATTCGTGTCTTTTCATCTAGGACACTCTCGTCCATAGATGAACTACTGAGAACTCTCTCGTTCTCAGTAAACACTGTTGCTGACCTTATGTCGGTTACATACTCGTCTTCAGCGACGAGTATGCAGATCTGCTTGACTTTGCCACTACGCAGATCACGCAAGAATCTTTTATGTTCGAGCGTTGGCAACTGAGTGATCTCCGAAGTTAACTTCGGAGGCGCAATCAGATCAAGTGTATAAGCGCCTACACATGATCCGTTATTGACTATGACATTCAATGTCTCTGTCATTTCCTGGGGACTTATTCCCTCAGGCTTCGAAGGACTTATTCCTTCGTCTTCCCGGGGACTTATTCCCGCGGGTTTCGGGGAACTTATTTCCGCCGTATTTGTAATCTTGGGACTTATTCCCTTTACTTTCTCTAGCTGGGGTTGCGCAACCACAGCGAGATCCTCTACGAAAGACTCTCCAGTCGATCTAGGATTATCGTTTCGCTTAACCTGAGCGATCGATTGTTTCTCTTCTAGATGTTCCCCTCTAGGGATACATCTTTGTCCCAGTCCACCCGACTTATTCGAGTGGTGGACCTTCGGCGCAGCCTGTGTTTCCTCACAGCCGCCGGAACTTTGCTCCGAAGTGTAACCGTTTGGTACACTAAGGTTTTGTGCAGTCGTACTAACGACCGTACCACAAGTGAGGCCATCGCACTCACTCGTAGTACATCCACACGCTTGTGGACGCTCCAAAACGTTCATCAGATGGCCATCTGATGAACAAGCGGCAGGCATCGTTACTGTCCGATGTTGCCAGTTTACCCGTGGTTCGTACCTTCTGAGCCACGGTATTCCAAGGATGACATCAAATTTGTCATCCAGATCCAATACGATAAAGTCATCGTCGTATTGGGTATCTTCTAGCGTATAGTGAATCTTCACTATACGCTTCATGACGGTTACGGATGCGCCTGTCGCAAGACGTACCGTCATCCTCGTAGGAGGTGTGTCACATTCACTGAATTTAAAGTGACCATCTTCTAGCGATTGGCGTCGCACAAAATTGTTGGACGCCCCACAATCGACTAGAGCTCGAAGGGACAACTTATTCGTCACTTCGAGTTTCAAGGTAATGAGTGAGATCTCATTACCTAGAGCAGCAACGCACAATGTCTGTGTGTTGGGAGCAACCTTCATCAAGAGGCCTACAAATTCTCTTGACGTTGCTGGATCAGTAGGGTGCTCCGCACCTACTGATCCTGTCCGTTTTTTGACGGTCCATCCCGTTGTTGCGTCTTTGCACCAACTGCGGACCCTCGTCCCTGCCCCTTTCTCATGGGTGGACGGTCACTACGCCCAGTGTCGCGAGACACTGGACGAGGGGCACTACACTCGTAAGCGTAGTGTCCTGTCTTTTGACATCTGTTGCATCTCTGCAACTTCTTGTAGCCTGTAGAGCGAACCTTCTCGCTCTCTACATAACAGAGTTCCATCGGCTCTGGACCTCCGTTGTCATATCGTCTCGGTTGACGATATGATGTCGAGCTGGCGCGAGCCTGTCTCAGACTGAAGTCTTCCTGCTCCGCAATTGAAATGGCTTGTTCTAGTGAATCTAGTTCAAGCCGGAACAGGTGAGTCTTGACGGGACCATCCGCAAGACCCTGCATGAACACCGAAACCAACGTGTGTTCATCCACCGGATTGGAACTTATACAACTCGTGAGATGTCGTATATGTTGAGCGTAAGCGTGCACATCACGCTTACCCTGCTTGAGCTTCAAGAGTTCGGTTCGAGCTCTGAACTCAGCTCTAGGCGGTTCAAACGTTTGTCTGAGCCGCGACTTGAAGACTTCCAACGACCCAAACGCATATGGGTCGTGCAGCTTGAGCCCCAGTGCCCAAGTCTTGGCACGTCCTGCCAGATTTGACTGGGCAAATGCAACTTGCATATCCCCGTCGTCGATGCGACGCGCCCTTATGGCGTCATCCAATTCGACGAACCATCTCAAGAGGGAGTCTTCTTCGACCCCCCTATACTTTGAGATGTCAATCTTCAAAGTCTCGGGTCGACGCGAGTGCATCGACCCGCCAGCAGCAGCTTGCTGCTGTCTCAACAGTTCAAACTGTTGAGCACCTTGTTCTCTCAACAACTCTGCTTGTTGAGAACCTTGTTGGTGAAGCAAGGCTACTTTCTCGCGTTCTGCGTCAAGTTCATTTTGAATGAACTTGGCGATAGTAGCATGTTGGGCATCTCTATTGAGAGCCTCTAGCATGACGCTAACAGCATGGATGCCCATGGTCGAACCCATTCGTTCAACCGCATCCCATTCGACATCGCTCAAATGGGAGTAGCCGTCACGCGTAGCGTGAAAGCTTTTGGTCATCTTCATCATCCAACATATTCATGTTGGATGTGAACGCGGTCCTTGGACGGACTACGAAGTGCTACCAGGTGTAACGGGGCACCCTGAAGCTTGTACTGGTGACAGTACAAGCTACTTATTCTGATAACAGAATAAGGCGGTGCCTCGTAACTTCACGTACACTCGTACGTGCAGAGGAAGACGGTAAGAAGAAGCGAGTACTCGGTTAGAGTAAAAAGTAGAACTGTATTTATAATAGTTAATGTCTGCAATAAATCAGTATTTATCTTCATCTAACTATGTCTAAATACAAATGTGTAAATCAGTTATCTGCTCACCACTCATTGCGTGCGTCTGTCGTGGCGCGTCTTCGTTGGTTGATATAATGGCCTATATCAACCAATTAGGAACTACTTGGAAGTGCTACCGAATATTGTCCTTATGACAATATTCTGAGAATATAACTCTTATAGTTATATTCTATTAACAATTTCTTATAAATTGTTATGTAACGATTCACCCCGTTACACTGTCCATATCAATTCTAATTGAATCAACGGGTGACTGATGGTTAATGGGGGGTGATGTAACGGGGTAGCCCGTTACATGAAATTGACACCAAACGGTGTCAATAGGAATATTGTTTAGCATGACAATATCCTACCAATACTACCCGAGACATATAATATCGAAAGAATATTATCCTCGTTTGATAATATTCATGCGCTGCTCCAAGATTGGTTGATATCAGACATATCAACCATAGATTGCCACCAATCGCTGCTAGACTCGCGCAATGAGCGGTGAGCAGGTTGTCGTCATACGACGACTTAGTTTAATGTAGCTAGATAAAGACCGAAGATGTATTGATAGCTTAACTATATTAAATACAGTTCTCTTTTTACCTTTACTTGACCGAGTCGTTCAAGTAGATTATCTTCCTCTACGTACTAGTGTACGTAGATTTCGTGGCACCCAGACAAAGGGTGCCCCGTTTCGATCAGCGTATCCCACCTGCGCAAGAGCATTGCGACGTTTTCTTCCAGAAGATGTGGGCCTAGCCAAGGTCTTGTATGAAGTAAAAATGCCATTTAGCTTCTGTCCAATAGTGATGTCACGAAGATGCATTTTTGTGACATGACTGGAAGGTGTTGACGCCTTTTTTGAATCAGATTTGTTTGGAATACACTTTTAAATTTCGACACGGACGGGACGTCAGATAATTGTCCTCAAATCGTTAAAGATATGTGCACGTACAAAAATACCGAATTTTATCATTTTCAAGCGTATTCCGCCCTCACTAAAATAGCCATAAATAGGGATTTATTAAATAGGGAGATTTTAGATTCACTCTCTTTTTTGGTTTTATTCACCCCCTTGGTTTCGTTAAGTAAACAATTAAAGCAGCTAGTTTTGATTAAATAATATATATTTTAAATCTACCATTTCAAGATTCCATTTGATAAAGCACCATCCTGCTAAAAAACGTAAGCACGATAATGCACGTACTTATATATAGTACCTGGCACGACAGTCGCCCGCAATGTTTATATATGGCTCTTCTACTATGAAACCTTTGCTTTGTACAATTCGTTACTCGCTACCTGCGGTATTTGTGGCAAAAAGTTATCCACCACATAAAACGATGGGAATTGCTAAATTCACACCCTTTTTCCTTAGATTCACACCCTTCCTTCAAAATCTTATATATAAAAATCCAATTCCTTTTAAGATTTGTTTTCTAGCCTTTTAACCATTAAAAGATGTTACACGCAAGTCGAGAAGACGTCGATATTCATGCATCTCGTACTTAACATATGCTCAATCGGTTGAGGGTAGCAAACTGACAGGTGTCCGTGAAGCATGCTCTAATGTCTGTAAGCAGTCAGGGGGGACGAAACAAAGCGTGCTGTACTCTAATCCTCGCCTAGGCTCTTACGGATCTGCTCCGTCACCTTATGCATTTCTATCTATCTTTTTTATTTATATCTATTGATCGATCTATCTGATTGTATATTTTATCTAATTATATATCTCTATCTAATTATATCTCTTTTCTATTATGTCGATGCAGTGGAAAAGACCTTGCAGGCTGTCGAGATAGTTACGAAAAAAGTGGCTCCCAAGTCGTGGGCTGAAGCGGTGGGCATTGACAAGACTCAGCCGTTACTGGAAGGAAGTGGAAAGGCGACGTCGTGGCCTATTGAAGCTGCTGGTGATCGAAACGCAGCAGCTGCAAAGATAGTGAGGGATCCAACGAAGCCTCTATATTTGAGGACGTGATTCAGGAGGCACTTAGTTGTTTGGACGTGTCGGCACCAGCTAAAGAGATGAAAAAGAGGTAGAAAGAAGTACATTACGAGAAAGAGAGTGAGAAAAAAGAAGGTGCTGACGTTGTGGTGGTTGTAAATATTGAATTGCTGCAGGGGGCTGGTGAATCAAGGCAACACGTGCTTCCAGAATGTTATCATGCAGTCTGTGCTGGCTTGTCCGCCGTTTTTAAAGTGAGTTGTTTTGTGCTGGGATGTTACTAGTGTTCCCTTTGGTGTGCTCACTGTGTGCAGTTTGTTGGTCGAGACTTCGACTGCTTGTCCACCAACGACTTCAATGTTGGCGAGTACATCGACGTTCAAGGCGTGGCGACACATGTTGCGTTTACGCGCAAGTTTGAAGAACCGACACTGGCTCAATGTACGTCGAGCATCGTTTTTTTGCAGGTGTGGATGGCGTAAGCGTTGTAGGCAGTGCCAAATGATAGTGCGTCGTTTGGAATTGTTCCAATGAAACAGTGCAGGCTCAAGTCAGTCACGGTGACCGAAAGGCCAACGATATGCATGGCAAAGCACCACAGGCGATTCGTATCAGCGGGTACTTCATGGACATATTGGGTGCTTTCTATAAGATGCGCAGAGAGCAGGAAGATGCACTGGAGTTTTTGGAGTATTTGCACGCAGAGTACGAAAAGAGTGGTCTACGTTTGCCTACCTCGTGTGAAAAGCAGACAAAGCGGGCTCCTGTGATCGAGCAGAATGAAGCTAGTGTGGACGCGGGTGCTAAGAGTGCTCAAGCTTTCGATGACGGCTGGGCAGAGGTTGGTAAGAAAGGCAAGAGCAGCGTGCTACGTCAGAATCCCGTTGACACTGTCCGCTCGCCGATAAATTAGATGTTTAAGGGTGCACTACGCTCCGAGCTGAAGCAGATCGGCAAGAGACAAAGTTCGATTACTGTGGAATCGTTTCACTGCTTGCACTTGAACCTCAATTACGAAACACAAGACCCATCGCTTGTTACAGGCGAGAATGGCACGGCTAATTCAGCCGACGCGTCAACTACTGTTGAGGAGATGATCCGCAATTCATTCGACGTCGAGGTGATCGAAGACGCCAAATAGGTCCCTACGATGAAGAAGTACACGACAGTGGAATCCCTTCCCGTTGTGTTGACGCTGAGCGTGAAGCATTTTACATACCACGGAACAGGGACCTCGACAAGTTACAGCAGTTTGTAAAGTATCCGCATTTTCTGGAGTTCCCAACACAGCTACTGTCAACTGCTTGTCGTGCGGAGAATGGATTGGACTCGTCAGATGCTACGCCCATCCATGGTTCTGGCCCGTTGACTCCTCTTCCTGTGTACGAGTTGTTTGCAGTCGTGTCGCACCTGGGCAAGTACGTGGTGGGAGGTCACTACACTTGCGTATGCCGCGACAACAAAGACCAGTGGTTTCGTTACGATGATGAGCATGTAACATCGATCTCGGAGGCTGCGGCGCTCAGTGAGACGGCTTACTTGTTACTCTTTATCCAAACAAGTAAACAGCTACCTGAACCGGTTGAAGTGCCACCCTCACTTTCAAGCTCCCCATTTATCAAGGCGACGAGCGTCAGTGCCCCAAGATGCAAGAGTAGCAACGTCACCGGAAAAAAAGTTCCTGGTGGAAAGAATTGGAAACAGCCCGCATCTGCGTCATCAGTACTCCCTCCGGCACCTCGACTGATTCCAGGCATGTCTCCAACAAAACTAGCCGTGGCAACAACATCGAAGGCAAAGAAGTCTAGCAAGAAGAAAGCTTGGGGGGGTAGATAGCAGCCAGGGTAGTGAGAGATAACTGCGTGCTTAGAAAAAACAGTTCATAACGACAAACTGGTATACTACCTTGAGTACACACAAGGAGTTCCTCGTTCAATGGAGTTCCACTGGAAAGTCGTTGCATCGTAGGTCTTGTAGAAGGTGCTGTAATTTATTTTGCTAATAGACAATTGACACGAGGTTAGCACGAGAGTGCCTCTGGTGCACTCGGTTGACTTTCGACACATTGCACTCATGACATTGACTAGAGTTGGCACGAATGTGAGTGCGTCAATGGATACTAGTATAGTTTGCGAAGGGATCTGCGTAGTAAAGGGCTTGTGAATATGGCTTGAGATAGCAGTGTTGTTCAGCTAGCGAGTAGTTTGTGCTGTCTACTTAACGGTGACCTCGTGTTGTGCCCGAAACAAGACGGCGTCCAGAGGCGTGGCTGTTATTACAGAGCGAAGGATCTAACTTGCGATAGACGCAGACTCGAGTAGATTTGCTGATACGACACTCTATCTTGCTAGCTTACTTTGGGAGCAATTCTACAAAGCTCGTGGATGATGACGTCCAGTATCTTGACATGTTGTCCAGCAAGTTAAACAAAACGTTCGAGGATGTATGTGCATTGTCGAAACTGAGGCAGCGGATTCTGTTTGATCGGGTGCGAGATATTACAATGTGGAATCCGGAGTTTGCACTGCCTACATGTAAGTAGACCACCGACAGTGTTTTCGCACGACGGACTTGTCGCCGCTGGATTTCTGCGTTGCTTACAATCTAATACTCTGCCACGGTTTCCATTTCATCACGTGGCGTCAAACTTGCATTGATTTCAGTATCGGGACGTGCAGGATCAATCACGCTTAAGCAGTTTCACTAAAATGAAAAACTGAGAGGCGTTTGTCACAAATTCAAACATACCACAGTATATTTCATCAGCCACAAAACATCATGGCGAGCCACTCGACCAGTTTAATAGCATGTACGTATTGAAAGCATTTATTTCCGTGCGAGTTCACTAGCGACCGGTGTTCGGAGTCTCATACCGTCGGCAACTCAGGGACTTCCCGTGACTTCTAGGATTTGATACGTACCGTTAACAACACAGGGACTTACCGTGACTTCTGTGACTCGACGTGACATTGTAAGCACACAATGCTAGAAAACAAATCTTAAAATGAATAGGGATTTTATATAAGATTTTGAAGGAAGGGTGTGAATCTAAGGAAAAGGGGTGTGAATTTAGCAATATCCTAAACAATGCATCCTAAAGTTTTCGAAAGAAGGCGATTTTCACAGCGACTTTCCACTTTTGCTAAGGTAAAAAAAAAGGCACACCAATCAATAATTGATGACTTAGATATAAGCAGAAGTCACTTTCACGTAAAAGCACATCTTTATCATTGTAGATACTAACTTGTGTCGGCACGAAGAAGAACTGCGATTCGTAGTATTGCGCGGTATTTGTGATAATAGCAAGCTACGATGTTAGCTACACGTTACTACAATCATATTTATTGTATCCGACCACATTTTATCCGTCGTGTGTACCTGTGTTTAGTCCTTACTTAATTATATTTACACACAAAAGTATATGCTTAAGTCAGCTCGCCACTCATTGTTCGCGTTCATCGTTGAGTAAACCAATGGAGCTGGCTGATATGATGACCCATATCAGTCAATCTGTAATTGCTTCAGATCATTACCCCTTATGGCAATATTCACGAGCATTATCAACCTTGATGACACGATTTTTATGAACAAGTATTAAAGTTAATTACATGTAACACGCTTACCACGTTCCAGTCAGCGTGTACTCAGCCATGTCAATTGTATGATGTATAAAAGCTCAGTACCACGCAAAATTAGCAGGTGCTATTACGAGATTTGAAATAAAGGTACTAAAGTTAAGAAAATTACTCATGCGTAGGTACAAGTACACAGATTGGCTTTTACAATGTCTATCGACACTAACGTTTACCTTACCTTCCTATGTAGCAGCTACAATTAAGTTGATACCATAACAATCTGTACAAATTATCTGTCTTTAAATGATTCGTCAGCATTTGCCAATATGTTTTAGTGGTTATTGGAACATTCGCTTGCAGATTGCTTGCACATTTTGTAGTAGACCACCCCAGGTCGTTAATTTATCCATCACCTTCACTTTTCTTAAGATTTACGAATGCTTTAGCCTCGGGATATAAATAGTCGTCAACTACGAACAAGCAGGAAAGGTCACACTCAGAGCTCAGCTTTATAATCCTAAGTACGAAAACAGAAAGTAAAGAGCGTTCATTGTTTAAACCTATGCTATGTGTAGCAGGCTTAGCCATGGTAAGTCTACTGACTCTTGCCTATGGCTCCTTTGATGCTGGACCTTAGCTCTTCGATCGCTTCATGAACAAGATGCGATTCTTGGCTATATTTAAGCTGCAACGGAAAATTTACTGAAGGCGTCCACATTTTTTCCTCCAAAGCAGAGACCTCGCGACCCGTACGCAGGAACACACGACGTTCATTTTTTTCTAGCCAAATGAATGAGATCCGGGTGTCTGAACGCTCTTGAAAGCTCACGTATTGCGTCCACTATAGGCAACTTGTCAAGAAGAGCAACGGCATCTTTGATCGACATATCCGGCGAAAGCTTGGTAGGCATGTCAGGCTTGATGACTCTGTCCGGAAGCCGAGGGCGACTAGCCGCCTCGAACGCGGCTGGTGCAGGAAGGTGCATAACGTCAGCCGCGTTGACAGCAGCGTTAAGTCCCGATTCGATTTCCACCGAATTCATTCGTTATTCTGGCAGTGTTTTGACGTCGGCACGGGCCCTCAGCTGTCTATAGACCGTCCCTTGTTCGATGGTATGAGCGCCATAAGCCACAGAGTCTGGCTTGATGCCACCATACGCGCGGGCAGAGATGGTGGACAGAACGCCGGCAGCGAAGAGTGCACGAAGGTAGAAAACTTTCATGTAAAAACTGGGCGGATGTTCAAGCCAAAGAGTTCGAAGTCGAGCGCAAATAGATCAATGAAGTTCCTCGGGGGGTATTTAGGGACCTAAAAGCTGTGTCCCGTGCTTCACCTATAGAAAAACTTTCCGCTGTCAGCAATCATCAGACGGCGTCCAGATGCAGCTGCTTCACAGTTGCAGAAGCAAAAGACTGCCTCTTTCCAGGCGATGCTTTTTTTGCTGCGATACAGAATGGCGTAAGCATTACCGAATGGGGTCGCAATAAGTTGGTTTTAGTATGGGTGGTGACGAAGCTCAAGGATGATGGCCGACAGCAGGAAGACTTGTGCGGCGGCTGCTTTCGTGCACCTAATCGGACTAGAATGCTGTAGAAAGCCTTGGACAAATTAAAGACATAACGTCAGTGCGTCGCCACTACTTCTGCTCTCTATCTACGTTGCATAGTTGCTGTAAGCATATGCAATTCAGTGCAAAAATTTGGTTATAGCCGTTACGGACACATCGCTGTGCGCTGCTCGTCGTGTCACCGACACGCGAGAATTTTCTGCTCTTTAATGTGTACCCGACTCTCCAAGCAATTGACATATCTCTGTCCACGGACCAGATGTGGCTTCAGGCTGCGGCGATTTTCAACTGACGCATACCAACAAATCGCCAGACGAAGAACGCTCGAGGTAGATTTGTGCGGATACTGCTGAGCTTATGGCGCCAGGCTACTCCGATGTCTCCAGCACGCTCGCATCCCGACTTGACTACGTGCACAGTGATCAGGGTAAATTACTAAATCAACAGCAAGCCACACTGACCAAAAGGAAGCATCCTGCCGGATTAAAATCCTATAGGTGTGATACCTATTTTGATAAGGAAAGCACAAACAAACGTTGATGCTCGCCATTTGAACTTGTTGCGTCTGCAAGTGGCAGATTTACTCTCGTCAGATAGCGGTAGTTTTGTTTTGTTGTTTCAGATGGTCTATTTACACGGAATTTACTATGCGCAAGATCTCTGGTATAGTCTTAACCAAGGTGTCAGCGCCGGTGAACCCGGGGCTGTTCATGACTCGCCCCAGTTGTGACTGGTGACCTTTGTGGTTCATACTCGAGTAGCTTAAAACAAGCGTACATAATGGCACCCTCGACAGCCGATGATTCATGTCTGTGTTCTTGTGTCGCGATCTCGCGAAGTTGTCGGGTGCACGTGGCCCAGAAACTGGACGTGGTGCCGGTGATGTCCTTCGGAAAGGACTGATGCACCGCGTCATTTCGGTCAGTCCACAGCTTAGTTTGACATAATGTCGCAAGAATAAACCATATTCGCTTCCACACCCGTTCTGCTGCCTCCCA